ATATAACAAATTGATGTAATCCAATTATGTGAAGTGCACAGGTTAGTTGTGATTAGTCGAGCGGTGATGGTTGTGGTGGTGATGGAATGCGGAGGCGGTAAATTTGGATGACTTACCATCGACTTCTAGGCCTCGAGATGTTGAGCGGCGAGTGAGGAGGTGGACTAGATCTGAGCGTTGCTGCGGTGGTCAGACCGACGGCGGTCGGATACATCCCGACGGCGGCGGCTGCCGGCAGGTAGACGGGCGGATACATGGCCGGATACAATTCGGAGGTGTGTGAAGAGATGCTGTGGCTGAAGTGACTGAACGGCATCTGATGGTAGAATCTGGCCGCCTCGACGGCGGCTATCGTCTTGATCTCGACACAGGCTGCAAACAAAACAACAAATCTATCATTTTTACTTCACAATAATGTTAGTTCATGAATTTTGTATTGTTTCTACTTAATATAAATTGTAAAATTTGTTATGAAACAAACCATACTTATCATGGACAAAGTAAAATTAGTTAGTTAGTAAATTTAGAACTTTGGTAAACTGTTTATTCTCATAAGTTGTACAAATTGTAACGAAACAAGCTATACTTTCCCTTTTTAATTGAGGGTTTGGCAAAATTCAGTTTTACAGCTTTAATAGGAATTCCTGGATATTATCTCTGAAGTGTATAATGTGCGTTTCTTTAACCTAAAGTTTAAAATTTAGCTTGTTTAGTTGATCTAAGATATCAGATAAATAAGCTTAAAAGTATGATCTTGTATAATTTCGTATTTTATTTCGTTTTTCAATTCAAAAACTCGTCCAACCATATTTCCTTTTGATAACCATCGAATAGCAGTGTGGATAAAAAAAACTTCGTGATCAGATTTTATATGATTGACAATTGTCACTAAAGAATCAAGCACTTCTTGCAAAGTCTTTGGAATAGGCTTGCTAGCAAGGATAATCATGCAGTGTAATCTCTGAAAATACACACCTCACACAAGTTTTTCCATTGCATTACATTTAAAGAATAAACTTATCATCTCTACAATGTCTTCACATTTTCCAGTAGTTTTAAATGCTCTACTAAACTCATCTTTTATGTAGTCCAAGTTAATATATCTCACGAAAACGTAAAGTAATTGGGTTATGTCATGTTATTAACATTGGTGGACACGTCAAGTTGAAAGGATAAAATGTATTCCATCACATCTATGAACATGTCTATGGATTGTGTTGTTGGTTAAGGATATATTACGTATTGTAATCTCATTAGCTTCTCCAAGAACTAGCCGACTTTAATGCACGAAATTCGCTATAAACATAATATTAATAAGTAATTCTTTAAATTTCAAGTCTAATGTAGAAAACATTGTATATGTATTAAAATACATGTTTGTTATAACACGAATTTATGGCTTCTGTTCACCTGTCCACTGTTCAAGCATACTCAAGTACATAGGTTTTGCGGAGCTTAAAAAAAGACGACCGCTCCGACGTTTTATATTTAGAGAATGCATTGTAAAGTAGAAAATAGACTCGTAAATCTCGACGGTTTTACTAAATATACGTGCGCCTTCTCGGCATTTCACACTCACGGCATAACTCATTTCAACATTATTTCCAATAACACGGCGACAAAACCCCCAATTTAGAAACCACAACAACGTTTACTTTGTTCATAACCGGTTCCTTATTTTCCGTGCTAACAATAGACTGTTTGATACACGGACACAAAATTGTATTATATAACATTAAACGCAGCTCAGTTTAATTGAAGATATTTGTATATTCATCGTTAATACAACCTGAAGCTTTTTCATAAGAAAGAAACGGAATTGAAGTGGAAGATCTCAAAAAAAAATAAAGCGAAATGAACGGTTGAATTGGGTAAAGGAGGATAATTTAGGAGCGATCATCGAGAGGGAAATTATACACCAGTTCGCTGATTGATTTTAATTCCCGAAGATCCAGAACGCAGATTGTAACGTCTCTCCGTACTCTGTGTATAAAGTATAATATGGTATAAATATTTAAACACAGACATAACAGACTGGGCAACGTTATTATTTTACCATAAATTCTCGCCGATGCAATTTAATGCAACGCACACACAGTTCAACTGTGTAATTTCAATGCTAAGAGATGAGTAAAGAGGGAAATGTAAAAAAAAATCGAGAATGACGATGATGGAATTGCTGTATGATGTGTTGCTTAATTTACACAATTTATTAAGAAAACTATTGATAATTATCAAAACTGTTTTCTTATGAGAGTTAGAAATAAAAATATTGTTAAAGTGGAGAATTTTTTCTCAAATTGTTTATAGATTTTAGATAGGTAAATAAACAAAAACTCAGTAAATTACATCTTTGGAAAACCAAATTAATCCACCGTGGGCATTAGAAATGTGAATCATTGTCTACTTAACACTGGAAATGCAATGAATTGTTATAAGCAGAAACATTTTTTTTTCTAAAGTGAATGAGAAAAATATATCAAATGTAGCAAGAAATGATAATAATTTAATGATGAATCTAAAACAGTTGTATTTTCTATTATACTCTCATGCAGCGTTCTTTAATCATTTTATTCCTGTAGACCAGAAAAATATATGAAATATTTCGAAAAGTTAATGTAGAAATAAAAACCAATATAGATAGTAAAAAATAAATAATTGAATATTATAAAGCATTGCTTAATACAGTTGACGCAGCAAAGAGATAATTTAAAAACTGTGAATCTCATATTTTGAATAAAAAGTTTTAATGGAATTATGCCTGTGGTTAATTATAGATCATACGCATTTGTCAATATACTTGTAACCATGCACGCAAACGCGCACGCACACACATTATTATTTTTTTTTATCAAATGTCGCATTCGCATCCCGACGGCGTGTAATGTTTTAAAACAACTGCACAAAATCGTTAAACTATAATTTATGGCCGGCCATAAATGCAAAGGTTATAATATTTTTAGTACATGTACAGTATACACTATATACTGGATCACTCTGTCCTCCTCACACTTCAACCCCATAGATTCATGGCATCTTCTTCTACATGAACTTTTTTTGTTGTTGTCTTTGTTTGATGTGAGCGTACTATGCTTGATGCATAAACGGCAGACTCTATGTAAAGTTGCAAAAGAAGGATGGGAGAAAAACATCCCTCACCGATGTCATTACGCGCGCGGAACGCATAAAAGTTAATGTATTGATTCACCTCGCGGTCTCCCCTCGTCTTCTTACCTTCGTCGATTTGTCGCCACGCCTCTTCCTGGTCCTCCTTCACGTACTTCAAGATCACATCAACCAGCGAGAACATCTTCCTGGAGAACTGGAATCTGCTCTTCAGCTTTTGGCAGAAATCGAAGCGGATTTCGGCCACTTGACCTGAAACACATACGCATATACCAATTAGTCACAATTCACTGTCGCAAGAAAGCAACCGTGCATACAAAGAGCTGCGAGATTAATTCAATATCATAACAATACTCATCAATAAATGCCAGTGTCGAAATAAAACAAAAAATTTGGAGTAAATTTATAAGTAACTAGATTTAATTTTACCATATTTAATAAAATTATGATAATTTATAATTTTAGATAATGTGCTAAACTTTTTAATAAAAAAGTTAAGAAAAATTTTGAAAAGAAAAATGCATTATATCTTATTACATATAAATACATTTAAAATGTTCTGAAAGACGTGATTAGTTTTTTATTGTTGATATTTTTTCCAGATCGAGTGCAAAGTTCAAGTTGAAGGTCGACAATGAAAAGAAAATTAGATAGAACAAAAGGCAAAACGTGTCGTAGTTCTAACTTTTGTCACGTCCATCCAAAATAAAA